CCCAGTATACGGTTTCTGCCTCAGCTCCACCCAGGGAAGGGTTACCCAAGCACTTGGGATAATGGGGTGAAAGCACCTAAGCACAAAATGGTCTTTTTTTTATACTGAAAATGATCTTTAAAAAAAAAAAATTGTTGGATCTGCACACTTTTTATTCCTTGCGTCCCATATAAATTGACAAAGTAGTTACACATGTGGAGTAAAAGAATAATACTGCATCTGTCCCCTGACTTTGTCCCATTTTACTGTTTTCATCTGTCTCATTAAGTTTGTCTCATACCATATTTGATAATATTTGAATGGTTATAATTTATTCTTACTTTATTTACACTTTATTAATTCAATATCAACCACACAATTCTACTTTTTCTTAAAAGTTGTGTACACCCCTTTGTCCGAAACATAGTGAGACGGGGTAGTAATTGCCTAGGCGAGGTTTGTGACATTTTTGTTAATGAGACTATGATGACAAGTAGGTATGTAAAAATGCATACAACATCTGCAACTATTTGGACCATAACCTCACAAGTTATCTACTAATATACGATTAAAATTCAATTTATATTTTCCAAGTTAATTGTTGGATCGGTACTAGGATTATTTTGTCATCCTTTTTTGTTATTTGAACATGATCAATTTTGTTAGAGACGGCTAAAAAATGACTAATTTGTATAAGTAATGCTGTAATGACACACGAAGCACCCTCTCCGCCCCACTAAAAAAATTTCATCTTACCTTTTTTTGTTTGTCCAACTAAAATTGTCTCTAGTACTAAATTTGATAAATTTTGTATAATTTTAAGCATTCTTAATTATTTTATCAACAACAAAACTCGCTTTTCTTAATAATCACATCATCTTCTCATGTGTTAATGTTAGTGGAACGCATATAGTATATATATTATTAAAATAAAATGAAGGAAAAACATGATCTTTTGTATAAAATGATTGCATTTTTTGGAAGAGGGAGACTTATATTGAAATCAAAGCATTAGCATTCGAAAAGAGAGTAAACTGAGTAAAAGACCACAGACATCCGTCAGCCCTTGAACCAGACTTGGAGTTAATCACATTTAAACAAATAATATAACTCGTTGATCCATTAATGAGTAAACCTGAGCCACAGACAATTGAAGTAGATCTAAACTCACCCATCTTAATGCAAAAGTCTTACAATAAAAAATAACATCAACAAAGCAATAAACAGTCTACTTAAATAAAAGAACGATAAAAAATGTAGAAAAATTAGTGTTCCTCTCCATTCTCATGAACACCTTCAGAGGTCCGCCAACCGGATCACTCTAAGGCGACGGTTCAAGAAGGGGACGGACCACCGATCTATCTTTTCCTTTGCTCGGCCATTCACCTCTCGAGGGCTCTTAATCTACTCCCTCCGTCCCTTTTATATTGTCTCAGTTCCTATTTACTTGGTCAACACAAATCACTCTTAATTTCTTACTTTATATATAAAAAATTTATCAAATTTGATTCAGATTTTTGTGACTTTGTAAAGCTTTAAATGTAGTTTCTGAATATGTAATTTTTTTTCTAAAAATAATTTGAATGCAAACAGAAATTTGTTTGCTTTATCGTCCATCAAACATTGTAAATCATAAAGAGACAATATAAAAAGGACTGATGTAATAATTGTTAATGCATTAAATATGTGTGTTGAAATTTATTGTTGTGGAAATAATAAAGGAGATGCTGTCGCGGTCCGTATGGGCTAGAGAGATGCGGAAGCAGAGCATAGAAAGAGCGCGAAGTTCTATGGGAAAAGGATAAAAGTGAAGGCTGGAAATTGCCAAATGGATCTCCAAGTAGTACCCCGATCTGTCCGGGTTATCCTACACTCTAAATGCCCTCTCTGATGGAGGCCCCCACCTTACTCTTTCCTTGGGCTCTTCGCAATTAAATGCCCTCTCTGATTGCGATTTAAAATGTGGGCCTTCAACCTAATCTTCTGTTTGCAAATATGCTATTTGTACATTTTTGTACGGATGCTAATTTTTTTCTTACTTTTTTTTTGAAAACTAATTTTTTTTCTTACTACTATCCGTTTCATTAAAGATTGTTTACTTTGATTTGAATATAGTACTAGAATAAGAAAAATGTAAATTGTGTTATTGATATATGAACAGATGAGAAAGAAGTGAAGAGAACTTTACATTAATCTAAAAGGAAAGTGATAATTTTTTTTGGATAAATTAAAGAAGAAAGTTGGCAATGTCAAACGGCAGGGAGGGAATATTTATCAATATTAATCTCTTTACATATGTCAAATGGCAAAATAGTTATCAAAATAGGTATACCGCAGGTAAAACCCAATTTACATTTTCCAAAATATTTATACATGTTCTTTTGTGTGTTGTGCTATACCTATTTTGGAATTTTATGTGAATAACTAAGAGTCCGTTTGGTAGCATAAAAATCTGCCGATTTGGCTAATTTTGCTGAAATTTATGAAGTTCTGGCTGAAGTGGCTGCATTGGCTGATTCTGCTGATTTAAGAAAAAAATATTTTTAAAATATATTTTATTAATAAAATAAAGAAAAAATTATATGTAAAAATAACTAAAATGGTCATCTACAGTAACTTCAGCCAATACAGTCAGAAAAGTAACTTCAACCTTACTTTTTCTGTTTATTACACAATTCAGCGCACAAAAGCAAAAGTAACGTGTTTGGTGAAAAAGTGGGTTGATAAACCTAATAAGCCGAAAAACAGTGTTGCCAAATGGCCTCTAAATACTCCGTATTTAGGATTTCATAATGTTGGACTCTTTGTACAAATGTGTGATCTTAATGATTGACATTTTAGTTCAACTCTTCTGTTTTACTTTTATGCACACGCTTGTCTAAATAATTAAGGAGTTTTTGTTCATTCTCATTAAAAATGGCAGTTTTTGGATAATAGTTAAACTAGTAGTTTACTAGTTCGGATGAGTATGTAATACTCCGTCCCAATTTGTTTTGCAAAGTCAACATTTTTTGGTCAACCAATAATAAAAGTCAATGCTCCGTATGGCTAATTAATTCAATTTGTAACAATTAAAATTTACATATTCATAAACTACATTAAAATCTCTTCAAAGTTCTTAACTCCAAATTATAATATAATTAAAAATTGGCATTCTAATTAAGTGAACAAAACAAAATTGTTTGACCAAGAAAAGTCAAATTTGCAAATCAATTTGGGACGGAGGTAGTATAATGAAATCGTTGATGATTCTAGTAAAGTTACAAGTGTATTTTTCTATTATTTGATGATCAAGTTATCGGTCAAAGTGCTAATTATTTGTTAATATAAAAATGTGTATCTTTAACTAAGACGTTCAAAAGAGACATAAAAAACTTAAGTTGAGACGAAGAGCGTGAGTAACAAGCTTGTATTTATGTTATTTATTTCTCTTCTCCATAAATATTGACTATAATAAATAAATAAATAAATAAATAAATAAATAAATAAATAAATAAATACTACTTCTATCCCCCCAATATTGGTACAAGAGGTCCAAGAAGAGCTGATGCACTTATAAAAATGTGAGTTTATGATGTTTATATTAAATTGATAAAATAAGAATAAAGTAAAAATAATTTAGAATTACAGAAATGTTACTAAATTTGATATGAGACTATGACGGACTAAAATGAAAGAGATAAAACCATCAAACAGGATGAAAGGAGTACTATAAGGGGGTGTTTGGAACTGATTCTGGTTCTCCCTCTTTTTTAAAGCAGAAACAGAATCAGAATCAGTTTTCAGAAGCTGGTCTCTCCCTCAGAAGCTGGTCTCTCCCAGCTTCTAAAAAAACTGATTTTAAGAGTAAATTAGAGCACCGGAATCACTTTTGCACTTTCATCCAAACACTCCATCTTCTGCTTCTGCTCCCTGAGGAACAGAAGCAATTTTAACAATGAGATCCAAACACCACTAAGTACCAATGTCTTTACCTGATCAAAATAAAGAACACAATTCGCTAGCATGAAGCTATAAGTTGTCCACTACGGCACTCATTCAGAAGCACTCCGTAGTAGGCATGTGTTTGCATAACTCATGTGAACAATAATGCAAACGAATATAAAGGTGCCCATAAAGCATTGCTTTCCGATGACCACATTGAGATAGACAAAAGAGTTAGCACGAGATATGAGGTAATTAAATGGGAGTCGATCTAGCACTTAGGTACGTTAGGTCTCGCCAGACTCGCTTGTAGAGTTTGAGAAATAATAGTTGAGTTTTTTTTTTTTTTACTCCAGGGGGTCTGGTTATGGTTGAGGTAAGTTAGGCTAATAAGTAATAACCTTAAAGTTTATGTTCTTATTTAGATTGAAATTTTGTATGATCTGAGTCTGATAAATGTCGAGTCTCTGTATATTTTACAACAGTCAAAGTCTGATCTGGTATGAACTGCTCTGGTCTGATTTGATCTTGTCTAGTCTGACCTTTTGTCCTTTTACACAAATAAATTACTTCCTCATTCCCGCTAAGATTGTCTCATCTTTTCTTTCCGGCTTGTTTCATTATGATCATCTCATATCAAATTCGGTAAAATTTGTGTGATTCTAAATCATGATTACTTTACTCTCACTTTATCTATTTAATAATAACCACATAAACTCAATTTTTTTTAATAATTATGTCACATTATCATGTTCCAATGTTAGAGGGATGAAGTACTAATTAATTTCAAAAATACGGTAGGAAAACAAATACATAGTACATGTGTAAAAAATGAGGAAAAACCTTGTGAACAGACAATTTGATCAGCGTTTTATGAGGAAACCCGTTTTTTACACAAGAAAAAATAAAAAATTTGTCTGCATCACAAATATTTTAAGAAAAAATTTCATCTAAAATGTCTGTGATATTGATAACTTTTTATTTTTATTTATGTGAAAATCCATTTTCTTTATAATCCAACTAACTTGACCTGTACACGAAACGGGGCTCACAAAATGAATAGCCCCTGTTTTATGTTTGCTAATTGCCACATACACGTCAGAGTTGGCTCCGCCCCGCAGTTGCAGGGCTGCTCCCTGCTGCTATTTGCAGGCCACCACCTATATATACATCACTCTGTATCTATTCATCTCCTCCTACACAAAGCTGTAAACAGGGTGGGAGGCTCGTATAAAGTGCGATGATTTGATTTGTAAAGGGAAAAAGCATTTTACTTTCCCCACATACAAATTCTAGAGAGAGAGAGAGAAACAAAGCAAATGAACAATTAATCCTTTCTTTCCAAATTGCAAGCTTATATGTACTCGTAATGTTTATGGTGTATCTATCTGTGAAAATTCCATATGTTCTGCTGGAAGGAACTTGTAACTTCTTCAATCTGGGCTGAAGCGTAGGGTTTAGAGAGAGGATGTGTGGATTAATCGATCTGAACACTGTGAGCAATGAAGACGACGAAGAAGCGACGGCGTCTCCGGATACTTCGGACTTGACGGAGACTTCTCCGCCGCCGCCGACGGCGTCGCTGAGTATGGAGCTCTGGCACGCGTGTGCGGGACCGTTGATTTCACTCCCGAAGAAAGGATGTGCTGTCGTGTATTTACCGCAGGGCCACCTGGAACACCTTTCCGACTACCCTGCCGTGGCATATAACCTTCCCCCTCACGTCTTCTGCCGTGTTGTTGACGTCAAGCTCCATGTTAGTCATCACGAGCTTCTCTTCTTTTTTGTTTGCCGATACTAAAACTAGGGAGTTGAAATACTCTGTACCAGTGTACCACATTAGTTATTTTTTATTTATTTATTTATTATACTCGTATTAATTAAGTAATAAGGATTGACCGATCAAAACGAATGTTGTACATAAGTGGTACACCAAATATGGCATATTGGCATGGAAGATTTGAAATAGAAATAGCTAATGGGATAGGTATGAATGTAGTGTTATTACAAGTATCCTGAGCTTGTAGGTTAGAGCATGCTCTTGTGTTTTTGGGAAATCTTTCTGAAAATCCTGTTTGTGGCATTTGTGAATATATTTGATATTTCATTTAATTATAACTCCGCATAATGATAGTGATACTAATAACAATAGCAGTTATAACAATAATGATATTATAATTATTTATTGAATGATTGATTCAGAGAAGTGGGTTGGAATGTAGGCGGAGGTAGCTACTGATGAGGTCTATGCGCAAGTGTCACTGGTACCAGACAATCAGGTAAGGTTCAATACTTCAATATATACACAGTGCTCATGGTTCTCTTGTATTCAGATGTTATGACTTCCTAACAGGATAGGTTTTGTGTTTTTTTCTGTGGTAAATCTAGTGTAAGAATTAAAGTACTATTTTTTTTCTATAAACATAGGCAATAAAATATCAATGCGTCATTGGATTGCATTAATATGGTCATTTTAGTAGATGCGTCTCCTACCCATATTAGGAGTTCATAACTAAAAGTCTAAAATAGGCAATATCTTCCTCATGTGGGTTTTTCTAAAATTCCTTTTTTTTTGTCTTTTTCCTCAGCTGAATGTGATATATTTATAGTCTTGTGAATTATTCCATTTTGAGCAATTTGCTACCTTTCCCAGATTGAACAGAAATGGAAGAATGGTGATGTTGAAGTGGATAACGAGGAAGAGAATACTAAAGGAGATAGAAAGTCAAGTACATCACACATGTTTTGCAAGACTCTCACTGCCTCAGATACCAGCACCCATGGCGGTTTCTCTGTCCCTCGGCGAGCTGCTGAAGATTGCTTTCCTCCTCTGGTATTGTCAATGAGAGTTTGTTTCAGTTCACAGACACGCATGTGTGTGTGTGTTTCCTTTGATTTAGTATTTTTTTGCTAGAACACTTTATTAAACTTGCCGTTGGTAGGATTATAAACAACAAAGGCCGTCACAAGAAATAGCAGCAAGAGATCTTCATGGGATCGCATGGAATTTTCGTCACATCTACAGAGGTATAGCTTTATATTACTTTCTAGCATTGATACTTCTTTAATTTCTAGGATCAAATTCTCAAGGAACATGGGCGGAGGTGGGGGGCATATTATATTAGGCCCCGGCCTACCCCAAATTTAAAATATGTTTAAATAGTATTGTAAAAAAATTATGTTCATCACCATCATCGTCATTACCCGAGTGCCGCAAAGGCTTCCACCTATGATGGGGTAAGGGGGGTCAGATTTACGCAGCCTTACCCCTGTACTAAAGCACAGAGAGACTGTTTCCGGATGAACCATAATGAAAACCGCATTGAAAATTGTATGGACTGACTGCTTCTTCATAACAAAGAAGCACATACAGTTTAGTGAGTCATTTTGCTTTATTCAATAGTATTTCCAAGCCAAAAATAGTGAGTCTTTGGCTCCATTGCATATGATGAAACCTGTTAAAAAAATAATTATGCTATAATTTTTCCAAAATAAATCTTTTACCGGCCCAGACCAATTTATACCCATGGCTACGCCACTGCCAGGGAAGGCAACATGCACGGTCTGTTATCATGCATTTTGCCAACTAAATGACTTTCTGGTTACTTGACCAGGTCAGCCACGAAGGCATTTGCTTACCACTGGTTGGAGTGCATTTGTAAATAAAAAGAAACTTGTTTCAGGAGATGCTGTGCTTTTCCTTAGGTACAAATTTTAGAACCTGAAAGGCTTTCATGTATCTGTTACCTTATTTCTTATATGTTATAATCATTATTTGTGACAGGACTGAGGATGGAGAACTTAGGATTGGAATCAGAAGAGCAGCTCAAGCTAAATTTGGTTCTCCTCCTTCAGTTCCTTTTAGTCAACAATTGAATGTTAGTGGTATTTTGGATGTGGTTAATGCAACATCGAAAAAAGGCATTTTCAGTGTCTGCTACAACCCAAGGTATACCATAAGTTCTTTTGATAATCTCATTTCTGGTTAATTGCAAACATGTAATGGAAAGCCTTACTCTACTCTGCCAGCATCTCATACTATCATAGCAAATTGAAGGATTTTTCAGTATTTGAGTAGTTTTATATGTTTAGTCAACCAACACATGAGTTTGGTAAGCAAAACAAGCCAACACACAAGCCTAACCTTTTTCTTTATCATTAAAAGTCATAGATGTATCATGCACGCATAACAAGGTCATTTCTAGCCAATTTTTCACCTTTTCAAATTTCCTTCTTTACCCTAGCATACTTTTGACACTTGCAATACCGCCTTAGTTGTTGGTAAAAGTTTATTTGATTCACATTTGTGTCAAAGCTACAGTTCTTTCTAACTTAAATGGCTAAACACGTTCATCATCATCATTATTGTTATTATTATGTACTCCCAATTGTTGTCACCAGTTATCTCTGATATCAATTATCAATGATCCATATATTCTCCAGATTCAAGTAATTCAGCAGTTAATCACCACAGCATTTTTTGCTCTACCTGCCTTTGAGTGCACATAACTTAAAATAGGAAGGGTTGAATTACTTTGATATTTTTAATATGATTATAGTCACTACTACTAGGCTATATCACAATTCTAAGAGACAGCCTTTCACCTAATTAGGCAACCTATTATGAGGTTGGCGACATATGCGTTCTTTCTTGCATAGTTGCATGTTTATTTTTTTACGATTCTAGTGAGATTTAAAATGAGAACTCCTCAAAATGAGAACTTTTAATCTCAACCCTTCGTTCATTGCAATCGTTGGTTAATATTCACATGGGGACATATTCATTATTAGCCTAAATTCAAATGGGCCTTTTGTAATTAATCCTAAATAATTACAAAAATGCTACCTTGTCAATATTAGCCATTGATTGATCAAAATTAGAAGTTCTCATTTTAAAAAGGGGTTTTCATTCTAAGAGGGGTTCTCACTAGAACTTTCCCCATTTTTTAAAACAGAATATATTATACTTGGTACATCCTTAACTCTACCATCAACAGATACATCACTTGTCAATAACCAGACTTCGCCTCAAATAAAGCCCTATAGACCTAGAGTATTGTTTACCCTAAAAATTCACTATCCACTGCAGAAAGCCAATCACAATGACCCATTTATGCTGTGTATGATTCAGAATTTACTGTGTACCTCCGTTGTGTTCCATTTTCTCTATCTGGTAACATGTGCATTTTCAGAGATAGCCTATCAAAGTTCGTCGTACCTTACAACAAATTCTGTGAGAGCCTTTCACGTTCTTTTACACCTGGATTGAGATTTAAGTTGCACTTTGAAACTGAAGATGCGGCGGAAAGGTTGGTTTACTTTTTTCCCACCATCTAATCAAATTCGTGTAACCAAAGTATTTAATTTTGCTTACCAAAAAAAGTATTTAATTTTTAAGTTTATGGCAGGTACAATGGAATTGTGATTGGGATTGGTGATGTGGACCCCGTGCGTTGGCCAGGTTCAAAATGGAGGTGCCTATTGGTATGATTTTTTTGTGGCATAGATTATTTGATTTGCATATAATTTGAATCATGGCATTTGTACACTTGTGAGTTGCAAAAGAGGGAAGTTCAGTGCCAGTGCTTATGAGAGCTCTTGATGTTAAGTAGTAGTAGATCTACTTGAGGCGAAATAGTAAAGCAAACTGTTAAATTCTCAATCCTTAAAATAGTCTGTTTTGACTTTTAATTACTCTTTTTTGTCCAAAAAAATCCGGTTTTCATAGTTTACATACTCCCTCCGGTTCTTATTTAACTTTACACTTTCCTTTTTTGGATGCCCCACACAACTCTACACTTCCTTATTTGACAAACAAATCTACACCAAAACAGTGTACTCTACAGTAAAATTTACCCCTCGGTAAATTTATTTTTTTAATACTCCGTATGTGTGAAGTCTAAGTGTAAACTTAAATAAGAACCGGAGGGAGTATATTTTAAGTGAAATTCTTGTCAAGCCAAGCAGCAAGGGATTTGTAGTCAATTCCTCCAAGACGTTCTTTGCAATAAGTTTTAGGGGTATTTGCCCCTGTTGCATCATTTATATTACCTATTTATTCTTCTGTGGTATGATAATGTAATGAATGGGAAATCCTTATGATAAAACAACTGTTCAAGTACTCTAGATGATAAAATACGTGCTGATTTTTCTGCATCAATATCTGCATTTGAATCTCAGTTTGTCCCATTATCTTCAGGTGAGGTGGGATGATCCAGATGACACTAGACATAACAGGGTTTCACCATGGGAAATTGAGCCTGCTGGAACACTTCCCGGACCAATCAATATGATTGTACCTGCTGCAAAGAGGACCAGGATTGGACTGCCAACTCCTGGGGAAGATTTTACAGTTGCTGGTTGTCTTTTTTCTTTTAACTCTTTTATCCATTAGGGCTTTGTTTGGATGGAGGCTTTTGGAAGTGAAAGTTTTGAAGGGCTTTCTGATGCATACTTGTTACTACGTATTTAATATACGGAGTAAAAAATTGCACACATGCAATTATTTAACATTTCAATAACCTTTTATTTGTTTCTAGGAACATTCTATTTATCAAACTATATACTATGATCTCCATAACCTATATCCAATTGACTCTAAGTGTACAACATTTGTCTTTTAGTATTACTAACTTGTCCCTCAATTCTTCTTGCAGATGGGAGAGTTGTGGACATTGGTGATCCACCCAGATTTCCAGTCTTGCAAGGTCAAGAAATTTTTGCAGTAAACAGTAAACGTTATGATGGTCCAGAGTACCTTCCTGGTTATGACAATTCAGAGATTTCTACAAGAAGAAGAAACATTAGAGCTCTGCTGTGTGAATCATCACAAGAAAGCTTTGCTGAACCTTGCCGGTTCAATAAGGTCTTGCAAGGTCAAGAAACTTACTGATAGGAACCCTCTTAAATTAGACTAATAATAGAAGTATTAATAAGAATATTAGTAATAAGGGTACTTGAGGTATTGTATAGTATAAATAGTCGGGAAAGGGAAATTAGGGAGAAGGCTGTTTAGACGTTTCTGACTGGGACTTGGGTGAGCGAGAGCTAATTCTCGTTCTTGGGGGGCTTCGGCTCATTGGGAGGCTTCGGCCTTTGTTACCGATATTGTTTCATCTTCTTCATCAATACAGTTTTCTATTTTTGTTTCTTGATCTTTCTGTATATTTTCTGGAGGCTCCTATCATTGGTATCAGAGCTGTTACTTCCTGGAGAAGAAGATCTGAATCATGGAGGATTTCGACATGACACCCCAGATGGAAAAAAGTTTTGATAATATGGACAGAATGATGAAGGAGACAAACGCTAGGTTAAAAACGATGATGGCAGATATGCAGGCTAGCTTCGCGGATATGATTAACAAGCTTCAAAGACGATCGCCAAATCGATCGCACACTTCGCGTAGGTCGCATCGCGACCCTCATCATAGTTCGCGAAAGACAGATCGATCAAGAAGTAGATCGCACACCTCAGCTGCATCACCTCGCTCATCTGCATCGCATCGTCCTTCTCACAACCATCAATCGCGGCACTCAGCAAGTCCAGAGGAATCCGAAGATGTGAGGCATCGCAGAAAATCTTGCGATCGAACTGTTTCCTCGCCAAGCTCTTCACAGCGCTCTTCGCAGAGTTCTTCTCATCATTCTTATCATCGCTCTCTGCATCAGATTTCCTCAAAGGATTCTCACAGTTCACATTCTTCATCTAAAGTCACTTCTCGAAATTCGGATAGTTCAAAGAAGGAGAAATTACCTCTATTCTACGAGGAGGAAGCTTATGAATGGATAGAGAAGATGGAAAGATATTTCCGAGTCCAAGTTATAGCAGAAAGATTTAAGGTGGACGTCGCAGCCAAGGCAATGGGGGAAGCTGCAGATGACTGGTTTCAATGGTGGAATTTTCAAAAGAGAGAAGATAGTTGGGAGGCTCTAAAGGAAGATTTAGTTAAGGATTTTCCACCTAAACACCGGCAGAAGACAGGAAGGGCAGAAAGGAAAGAATCCTCGAGGGCACGAAGAACTTCTTCCAGTCCGCACTCTAGAACTTCTTCATTCAGTTTGCAGGAATCATCGTTAAGCAGGCAGCGAAAACAGGAGTCATCGAGGTCATCAAGAACTTCTCGTTCACAAGTTTATCAATCAGCGCCAGAAATTTCCAAGTCAACAAAGAAGACCCAGATGGAACCAACTGAACCTGTGATCAAACAAGTGAATAAGAAAGACGAAATCAAGGAGAAAAGACAGGATATTCACGGGCCAGATTATGTTTATTCTAATCTTGCAGAGGGTGTGGATTTAACTTCCAACCAAGTTTCTATTGCTGACAAGCTTATTCAGCCATGTTCCTTTGGAAATAGAGCCCTAATTGTTTCTGAAACTGTTCTTGTCAAAAGTCAACTATGTTTACAACCTAAGGAAAGGTTATCAGAAAAATTATGTGTTGGTAAAAATAAATCTGGTACAGAGGCTCAGGAGAAGGAGGTTGGGCTTGTTTCAGGTGAAATTGCTATCATCCAGGGAAACCGTACACAGATTAATGCTGCTGATAAGTATAACCATGGCCAACACCTCGAATTACAACAAGCTGAATTACAGCCAGGGGTTGAGAGCATGTTAGACTATCTCAAGCCTGACTTACATAATTCATTTAGAGTACATGAAGGTTATCTATTGTTGGGAGATATTTCTGCAATGACAACTCATAACCTATTACTTCCTGGGGTTTATGAATCCTTCACAAGGTTTTTACAGAGGTTGACCCCAAAGACTTATCAGCAAATTCTAGCTATTAGGACTACAGGGGTGAAATCCTTGTCAATTGATGACATTAAAATTGTTAGAGAAGTTTCTGGTGATCCTAATAACAGGAAAATTATCCAAAGTAAGAAGCAGGAATTATGGAAATGGAGAGGTACTCCAATGGTGAAAGAAACTGAAGAAGTAAATTTTGCTAAGGGCTGCTGGATAGTGTCTGAACCGAGGGAAACATCACTTCGAATCTCTTCTACTGCTGGAAGTTTTGCTAATGGTGTAGGTGATACACCTCAGGAAAACAAGGAAATATGCGTAGCTGTTGAGGGTCTGAAGACTAAGGAAGAAAATGAAAATTCATCAAAGATACTATATGCTGCAGTAAAGTCTATGCAGTGGAAGAATCAAGTATGGAGGCTCTTTTTTCAGAAATCAGTTAGATATTGGGAAGGTAGAAGCGCTAGGAAGAGGAAGAGGAAGCAGAAGATTGTGGCTGTGTCATATAACCCACCTTGAGGGCAAGGTGGATGTTTAGGGGGGGAGTATTGATAGGAACCCTCTTAAATTAGACTAATAATAGAAGTATTAATAAGAATATTAGTAATAAGGGTACTTGAGGTATTGTATAGTATAAATAGTCGGGAAAGGGAAATTAGGGAGAAGGCTGTTTAGACGTTTCTGACTGGGACTTGGGTGAGCGAGAGCTAATTCTCGTTCTTGGGGGGCTTCGGCTCATTGGGAGGCTTCGGCCTTTGTTACCGATATTGTTTCATCTTCTTCATCAATACAGTTTTCTATTTTTGTTTCTTGATCTTTCTGTATATTTTCTGGAGGCTCCTATCACTTACCCGAGATGGACGACACCACCCATCCCAAATCATCACCACAGTCAAACACAACAACCATCTTCTTCTCCGTTTCATCGGGTCTCTTCATCACCCCCTGTGCTAATATTTCAGAAGCAATCCAGAATTTTGGATCTTCTCCGGCCTCAATCATCCTGTACGGTCTTCGGTTTCCCCATATTATCCGAGGGAATAAGTGGCCCAACCACTGAAGAAAGCTGTCCATCTTCACAGGGTGAGACAACATCTCAAGTGATTTCCAATGCAATTGGAAGCAGTTTTCCCAAAGTAAATGAACCTTATGCCTCAAGGGAAGTGCTTCTTGATATAGCACTCTAAAAAGGGATCTCTTGTGGAAGGAAGTGTTCAAAAGCAAGTGTCTTTTAAGATTTGTGATGCCTGTAATATAATGTTGCGAGCTTGCTACCAAAAGACGTTATTTGTTTTTGTTTATTGTTTTGGGATGTTGCATCCACGATATTTAACATATATTTTTATAGTACAGTACCCCAGTGTGAGACATTGCAAACTGTATGCTTACTTTACATTTCGTATCTTAAACACGTATTCACGTAAGATTATTTTAGAATTTATTTACTACGTATTAAATAGGGTATCTGAAGTGTTCTATTTTAATGCCTATGTATATTCCCTCCTGTCACCTCTTAAGGTTTTCATCTGTCCTTTTTGAATATTCCATATCAAGGTATTTATTTCAATTTAGAAAATAGTTAACTTTTTTTTCAAAATAAATAAATAGAATAATTAACTCTTAACTCTTAAGTAACAATGTTATCATGAGATATTAAATTAGTGCACTCGTTATACCCATTACCCATATTAGCCACATAACGGAATGGGTACACTAGTTATGATCTATACTAAAAAGTGGGGTTATCATTATATTGATTAGTAACGATACGGAAATGATTAGTTATGATCTATGCTAAAAAGTGGGGTTATCATTATCTTATACGTAGTATTGATTAGTAACGATATGGACACGATTAAGGCTATGTTCAGCATAACGAGTTTAAATTGGAGGCTAATGTCTGATTAGAGACTATTGTTTGAGTCAGAGACTATTATCTGGAGTTGAGGTTTGAATTACTGAATCTGAATTGCTGAATCTGAATTGCTAGCTGAATGGAGTAGATCGTTTGGCAAAAAGAACTAAAATCGTGACTAGAAAATATAAAATTACATTAAAGGGCATAATCTATTAGTAGAAATATTTATTATAATGGTATTTACGTTTCATTAAATTTAAGATTATGAGATTTTTTATATGAATGATCATGGGCTGTTCCATGTCATTATAGAACTTTTTGTAAGGCATCTATTGCCAAACTTACCCTTAGGTAGGCTTACGTGTCATACAAAAACATGATAAGGTGTATGTTTGAAGGACAAGTTTGAACTTGGGGTTCGGAAATTGGAAAAGATCGACGTGCGACGTGCCTGGAGATAGCGAGATAGGAGAGAAGAGAGACCAATACAGGAATAAATGGATCGGCTGAATGGAAACGTTTCATCTATCAACGTTTTAATTCAGTTCAACAACTAGTGTTTTACCCGGCGTTGCCCCGGGTGCATGTTTTAGAATGTTTCGATAACGTAAGATATATGTTTTCAAGTATAGTTATGTTATGGTTATATACTTATATTATACCTTAAAAAATCGCTCATGATGTTAAGGTCTAAAAACCCATCATTCTGTATTCTAATATCATCATCTCTTACCTTAACAACTCACTTAGTAAAGTGTTCAATTGTTTGCATGCTATAACCATTTTGATATGAAGTATGTCATTAGTATCATATTCTTTGGGAGAAGAAGAACTGAGCGGCTCTCCCTAACTCCCCTCAAGACGATATACACTCTTTGGCTAAAGTCTCCCCCAAAACAACAATTCTCCTTTTAAACGATATAGAAACAGAAAATTTCCATAATTTATTCAAAGAGAAGAATGAGATTACATCCGGGGGAGGGGGGGGGGGGGGGGGGCTAGACCCACATGTATTAGTTTTTCTAATATTGTTTTATATTTAAGACATATTTAATTAATAAAATAAAGAAAAAAATTAGAAGAAAAATAGCCAAAATGATTATCTATAGCGACTTCAACCAAAACAGGCAGAAAAGGAAGGATGTTTTCTTTTGGACTAAAATTTGCTGGTCTGGTCTGGTCTGATCTGGTATGGTAAATGTCTGGTCTCTGTGTATTTTATAACTACGGAAGTCAAGTCTGGTCTGGTCTTGTCAAATCTGGTCTTGTCAAACCTGGTCTGGTCTGATCTGGTCTGATTTGGTCTAGTCTGGTCTGGTCTGGGACTGAAATAGTCCAAAAGAAAACATTCTAACTACAACCTTACTTTTTCTTATTATTACACATTTCAGCACGTAAAATCAAAAGTTACGTGTTTGTTGAAAAAGTTGTCTGATAAGCCTAATAAGCCAAAAAACATGATCACCAAACGGATCACAATGCGCGATAAGCATGGTATGTCATTATTATATACCTCTACTAATTGCAATTACTTATTAACATGTATTAGGAAATAAAAGTCTGGGTTAAGTTCTTAATTATCAGAGAATAGATTTACAAATATACGGTCTACTATATTTGTTTTCTTATAGAAATGGTGATAATACAAATATAGAAAATATATCTTATAATTCCATAGAAGTTTTAATTCAGTAGGATATATATAACATACCATAATTTTTTATTATATATGTGTGCGCGCGTGTGTGGCTCTTTGTACGTACGAATAGACATGTTACATTTTTGTTTGATAAGTATAATTGAGGGTTATATCAAGAATCAATTTCATGAGACTATATAGTGGACACAGATCAAAGTATTTAAATAATATTTATGGAATACTTCCATGACTTTAAGACCTTGAGGTTGTAAAAACTTTACCACAATATATTTTATATATTTGTGATTATACTCTCTACTTTTTATTGGTACATCAAAAAAGAATTTGTGATTATACTTTAACATTGGTAAAGACCCATGAAGGCCTAAACACATTTTGTGATTATACTTTAAAAACTTGGTAAAGACCCGTTAAAGAATTGGTGACTATGCTTTAAAAACTTTAAATATATAAACACATGTACATTTTGCATCATATAAACACGTATACACGGAATCAATGCACTTAAGTACATGAATTTGTGCACTTTGGGATCAAATTTATATTTATATGTATATACTAGACGAAATACCCGTGCGATGCATGTGACATATCTAGAATGATGAAAAGTGGTGTTTGGAAAATGGTGTTTCAGCCTAAGAAAGCGATTTGACCTCCTTTAGCGTTTTCAATAAGTGAAAACATTGTTTAGTAAATAGTTGTCTGGTCTAGAAGCCTTTTTTGATGGAACCGCTGATATTGAAACACTGCAAATATGAAAGTTTTGGGCTAGCATTTTGAAATATGGCGTTTTCTACTAATTGTATGGTCAAACAAATAAATTATCAAACATCTTCTGGCAACCCGTCAAATTATTCCGCTTGTCAAACCTGCTTAATTGAACACGCAATTAAAAACCGCTAACAAAATACGCTATCCGCCAACCGATAAATGCCAAACACACCCATAACTTGTTTGAAATTACATTCTATTACGGAGTATAAATGGTATGTAATGATTTTTTTTTAAATAGAAAAGAGTAAAAGGTCAAATAGTTTCTTCTACTATTTTCAGTTTATTATCATTTAATTTCTTATACTAAAGAAATGTACTCCGTATCATATAAGTGTTTTTTTTAAATCGATCAATATGACCTTTTAACCGGTTTTTGACCTGTAACAAGATAAAATTTGAAGAACGACAAATAAAAGTTGTGAACGACAAAGTCTATATTTTTGTATTCTTGGAACTATTCGCATAATCTACATTTTTAAATTTATTAAAGTTTAATTTTATGTTTTTTACACTTTAACTTTATTTTTTCTTTTCTTCTATTTTAATATTTTATTTTAACGTGTTAAAACTATCAATCCATTTTTGATCTAATACTTTTATTTTTATAATATTATTACATTATTTTTCAAATTTATAAGTTTTTTTATAAGATTAATCAATCATTTTTTTTAATTAGCATGCTATAGCGTGTTGAAATGACTTGATTGAGGATGTTTTTACAGTAAATATGCTTATATGGTACTTTATTACATTACGCTTAAATAAAGTATAAAATACCTCTAAAGTACTAAATACCTCTTGCTTTTTGTAAAATCTACAATAATTATTTTAGACTATTCAAAAGCTAAATGATGCAACTATTTTAATACAGAGGGAATATCTTTTTTCAGACGAACTCATTATAGAAATCGTATGTGTATTGGAAAGTATACATTTGAATTAGTAAATTACCTAAAGATTTCGTAGTAGTGGCTATTTTCATAGAATCTACAAATTCACATATAGATTCACTAATGATTGATACTATATTTTCAAATTAAAAATGACTATATGAGGTAAGTAAAAAAAATGTCCTAAATATTTTGTAATTGCTATTGAGGAAATAAATAATCTTAATTATTACTACCTCCGTTCTATTTTATGAGATCCTTTTGAAGGTTGTACAAAAATATGAACATTTTTTCAAACTAAACTCAACTTATTATTAACTTTTCCACATTACCATTTTATATATATAATATAAAGATATGAATATCATATATAAGGCAACTTAAAAAATGACCGTACAAATATAACTCAATCAAATTATTAGCTTATTACATCTTATGTATTTTACTGCCTATTATTATTTTGGCCAATGAATTACTTCATTTTGTAAAATTATTAGTGGCATCTTATATTGTCTCACGTGGACAACATGAAGTCATGAATTACATTTTATGGCAAGTTAACAGCATATAATGTATTCTTTGAAAAACATTTATGGGCAATAAATGCGCAAGATACAGTTACATATTTACATGGGCAGGAGTACGTATTTTTAGGAACATGAATTTCCATTTTTGTCTCTCGCTTAGGCGGGAATTTTCCCTCCAAAAATTGTAGCAACTTTGTTACTTTATATAATATAAAGATAAAGATAAAGATATGTGTATACGTTGACATAAATATATCAGGCTTGGTAACTTGTTTTTCGGTTTATCGGGCTTATCAGCCAGCTTTTTCACCAAATACGTAACTTTCGATTTCATGCGCTGGATTGTGTAATAATAACAAAAAGTAAAGTTGGAGTTACTTTTTCGATTGTATTGGCTTAAATTAATGTAGAAGACTATTTTAACTATTTTACATGTAATGTTTCTTTATTTCATTAATAAATATATTTTAAATATATCTTTTTCATAAATCAACAGAATCACCCAATTCAGCCAGATTAGCCAAAATTTCATAAATTTTGCAGCCTTAAGATAGGCGGACCGCCTATGGATGTAGTGAAATTTTCGATTCCATTGCATTCCAGTAGAAACGTAATTTATTGAAATTTCATAATTATCAACGTTTCTACCAGTATCTGGAATATCTTCCTCATTTAAGGAAGTTGGATCATTATTTGAGATGTTTGTTTTGTCAATATCATTTTCAATGCCAGTATTTTCAAATTGT